TATGTGTACTACATAGGCACCACTCCATGCAGATATTCCATAACAATAAACAGATTGTGCTAGGGCACAAAAAACTATCTGCATTGTATCTGGTAGTAAAATACTATTAAGTACTTTAAATTTACTGTGTATACACCTAACTTTTTAAATTACTAAATCGATGTGCATATTCCATTTTGCATTCCATTTTAGGAAACTATCAATAATTATTCAGAGATATTTAATAGAGTCTGCTGGCTTTTAGAACATACAGTTACAAGTTGTATTAATAACTTTATAGCCTAAACATTTTGAGTCATCTATTTCAATGCATTCATAAACACTAAACATATGAGCATTAAAAACAGAAAAAGGGATACAAGTTGTTTTACTGGAATTTATTTTAAGATAGTTAGTGATAAACCATTTGTTCATAACTAACATCACCTTAGTAGCTATGGAGATTAGATTTGATTTATCTCGATCACCAATTATAAGAATAATATCATCAGCAAACCAAAAAATTTGAGCTACATATTTTTAAAAGAAGTAAGTTATTAATATAAATAATGAATACTAACGGACTAAAAGTACTGTGTCCTGTAGAACACCATACTTTACCCTCCTATATTCATTAAACATATTGTTCATTCCAACTTGTTGATGATGATTTGTTAAAAAACTTTCAATTAAATTGTTGACAACTCTTATACCATAATTGTTTAAGTTTAGGCAGTAATAATTATGGACAACACAATCAAACACTTTTTTACATCACGAAAAATGCCAACTTATTTTTTAAATTACCTACTACACTCATACACAAATAGAGATGGCTTGAATTTAATTTTGGTAGTTCACTGAACCACTAAAGCTTTGGGGCGGGTAAATGTTCGTTATTTTAAATGATAAAAAAATTGTATTAACTTAGTTCATAGTACTTAAAGGAAGTCATTTTTTTATTTTTCCATTGTTTTCATCATAAATGGGATAAACCAGTATAATATTAAACAAATATTTTTCGATTTTCTTAAGAGCTTTATCCTCAAATTTAAAAAACCGAAAATAAAACTGATACTGGCCATGGATTCGGTCATTGTTGTAGGTGAGAAGTTGGGAAGGTAGATTATTTCATTTATATCTATAAGCAACGGTAAATTATTGCTTGACCAAAGATGATTCCGAGCGTAATTCGGTAATACATAATTTGAAGTGCTGTAATTTTTTTTGCGATTTACGTTTTAATGTGAATTCAAAATGCTTATAAATTAAAGTAGTCATTCGATAATTTTGAAAATATTACCACGTCCAGGTAAGTCCAGTTTACTAAATTTCAAGTCTCTACATGTATTTATAATCAAACTATAACAAAAAACACTCAACAATTAAAATTCCTTAAAAGCTTAAAATTGGCTCCAAAGTTTTGTTGATAACACCGTAAGAAAATAGGTCAAAAAGATATCAGAAAAGGTATCTTGTGATTTTTCGATTTAATCATTTTTTCTGGTAGAAAAAGTCGTCCGTGTTTTTATAAAGTAATGTAATCGTAAAATTGTACGTTTTCCTACATTTTTTCCCAAATAGTGCCTTTATTTAAAAAATAGCTTCAAAAATCAAAAAAATGACATCTCTAAAGTACAACCTAGAAAATTTGAGTTTCAGAAAATTTTCCACACGTAAAAATCGAAGTATGTTTATTAGGAAAAAATGTGTCTACAGATCAGAACAAAAAACAAAGAAAAAGAAAAAAGTAAACAGCATAAAACTAATAGCTCCCTCGCTACGCTCGGAATCTAAAATGGGAAAATATAAGAAATGTAGATATTAGTTAAAATATATTACGGTCTTCTTTTTTTCTATGTACAACTTTTCTACCAACAATATTACTCCAACTTATATTAATATCAATGTTTCTTAAAGTAAGTTTTACTAGGGAGGTACTTTAGAGAGGTCATTTTTCGATTTTCTCAGGAGTTTTCCCAGAAAATATGAAAAAATGGGATAAAACATTGGAAAAACGTAGGAAAACTGGGAAAATCGGTACAACATTAAACAAATATTATTAAAAAGAATATATAAAGTCTATTTAATTATTTTACTATAAAATTGCATATTTTAATGACAAAGTATCATTATCAACTGAGTCCTCTCAGAATCGTTTATTCGTAAGCAATGGTTTATTCTAGGAAGTCTTTTTATTTATTTATAAGTAAATGATTTTCTGTGCATACATTATATAAATAACAAGGTAATTTAGGTAATAGGTTCAATTTGTTCAAGGTATATTTTTTAAAATAATGTTTTTTTTATGGAAGGGCTGGAGAAACGTTTCTACAGCCTCTTTACATTATTTTGACAATTAAAAATAAATTCATACAAATTCCATACTCAATATTAATCAAAATAAATTTTCAAAATCTTTATGGAGAGGGAGCTAGGGAAACGTACGTAAAATTATAAAATCGCTGTATCTGAAACCGAATATCTTAGCAGCCATATCAAAATTAAGAGACTACAATGGGCTGCAGGACATGTTTGAAAATACCAAAACCTATTACATCCTACAATTCTGGAAACGTATAAAAATCGATAATTAAATACATGGAAAGACGTGAAAGAATCAGGAGGATAATTAGATTGGAACGCATGAAAATCATATACATGTGGCTGATGGAAGTCTGGATATATTATGAAATGTTCCTAGAGACTTCGCTTTTGTACCTTGAAAAAGAAGATATGAAATGCTAAAATCATATTTATATTTATTAATTTCTTTCGTTTCAAGTGTAGAGTTCTGTTTATAGTTTTTCATTCACAAACAAATAAGTAAATTATTTACTAAAATATTATTATTAAGTACTAATTATTCTAAGTTTCAACTATAATACAACATGTCTATTGCAGAAAAATAGTTCAAAAATCTTTCTATATATTATATTATAATACTATATTCATCATTCGGTTATGTCAAATATTTTTTTACCTAGTAAAAAAAAGTAGGTGTGCGCCTATATTTATTGAGATTTACTATACAAAGAGTATATTATATAAATTGGAGTATATACATTTTTTTTACGATATAAAAAAGTAATCACTTCGATTTTCTCATCGGACAGTGCCGTTTTCCATTTAAGGGGAGCGTTATGGGTTCAGGCGGTCAGCTATAAAACTTAAAATACTAATTATAAGGGATAAGCCATCATCCTTTAACTTTCCATTAATGAAAAAAAGGATTTTCAACTAATACTGCAGACATTTTTTTTCTCGGGCTTTTTCGTTAAAATTATTCATATTTTTAATTATACTCGGATCGACGATGATAGGGAAAAATGTTACATATTTTATATCTGTTTAACATTAATGTACGAAACAGATTACTTTGCTGCAGTTTATCATATTTCCAAAGATACCGTATTTATTTCATTCAGATATTTTAATAAATTAAACGATTTGCATATTATATGGTACTAAGATGTTTATTTATTTTTTCTTATTTTTTTATACTGTGTACAAAAATTCGACCACAAATCTTGCTCAGATATATACGCGCGGTATCATTTCTGAAGGAAAATGTTGTCTAGATGGTACTTTTAGGAAGTCATTTTTTGATTTTCCAAACAGTTTTCATAATATTTGAGAAAAACCAGAATAAAACGTAAGAAAAATGAGAAATTTACGAAAATAGTGCTTTTATTAATTTAAATTTTGTTATTTATTGTGATTTAGTTAAATATATTCATAGATATTTGAAATTCGAGCAGAAAACTCGTATATTTTTCCTTTTCTGGATGTAGTAAAATTTTCAAATTATTTAAACCATTTTTAAGATACTTACAGACATTTTAATTTTGAGAGTTTTGTACATAATATTTATTTAACAGAAATGTTTCAAAATTTAACAGGAGGTATATTAAGTCTTACTTTGTGGTAAAAAAAAAAAATTAGTTTATTGTAGTATTTTTTTTTTAAGGGAATTTGAATATCAAATTTTGACGAAAATCATTTAAGTAAAAAATTAAGTGGAACAAATCTAATTTTTCATTTTTTTTTTTTTTTTTTGAATATGCATATTGCCGATTTAAGAATTAGAATTAATTATAAGAATTAAGCGGATTGACTAAGTTTCGAAATTGTAGATTTTTGAAGTTCTGATATTATTTGGATATTATATGTTATGTTAAATAACTCTTTATTATCCCTCTTAAAGCATATTTGTCGTAATCTAATGGTTATTACGCTTAATACCATAATAGGGATTCTGAGTTTAGATCAGAGTGTGACAAAAAAAAATTGTTTGCACTTTTTTTTCCTTTTTTAGGTAAAAGGGAAGAAAATGGATGTACCTGGAAACTCAAGCCATCGTTCCCTTGCACTATTTTAATCACAAAATACCCCTCGATTTCTTGTGCAAATTTTTCCACCACAAATCTTGCTCCCATGTATCAAGTGTAGCTTATTTTTCTGAAAGGAAATTTTTTCTTCATGATAATTTAGAGAAGTCATTTTTTGATTTTTCAAGCGGTTTTCATATCTGGGAAAACCGGGATAAAATTTAAAAAAAAAAAACGGAAAATGTACGAAATGTAGGTATTATTAAAATAATATTATGGTCTATTTTTTCCTGTGTACAACATTTTACTAGCACTTTCGCTCTGATTTAATATAATAGCACTTTTTCTGACCAGAAATTAATTTGACTAAACTAATCAATTTCTAAAATAGAAAGGAAGCCAGAAACAGAACTGAAACATTTTTTCGATACATGTACACGACATTTGGGTGCATTATGGGAGTTCGGAGAATCAACAGATAGCTGGAGCATGTTATTAGTATACCTAGCATCGTCGAGACTAGATAACAAGTCACTCATGGAATGGGAAAGGTCACGAGTAGATAGAAGTGTCCTTATGTGGACAGAGTTCACCAGATTTCTAAGCTATCGCTGTCAAAAACTTGTGGCAATTGAGGTTTCGTCAAAGTCTATTGGTAAAATGACAAGTTACACCTAACCTGCTGCAACCATGCGAAGATTATTCACAGCAAGCCACACAAATGGTCAAAGTATGGATCCCAAATGCCATGTGTGTAAATTGACATATGCATTGTACCAGTGTCCAAGGTTTTTAGCATTACGAACTCCAGATAAAGTCAAGGCCACGAAATCTGCGAATATTTGTGTCAATTGTTTGCAAAATGGTCATCAGGCATCAGCTTGTTGGAGTGCAGGGTGTCAAATATGCAACAAACGACATAATAGCAAATTGCATCTAGAAGAAGAAAAAAAGAAAGAAGCGTTTGCTAAGAATTTAATATTTCAGGAAAATCAGACGGAGAACGGAGTTGAAGGTCAAAAAGACGGTATGAAAGATGAAGATACGTTGATCAGTCTCAAGGCATAGGTGAGTGACAAAGGGAGTCAAGAACGTGAAATGACTGTGTTTTCAACAGCTTTGGTGATTATCAACGACAGACGTAATAACGGAGTTCTAGCACGAGTTCTTCTAGATTACAGGTCTCCGATATTACATTAGAGCGGTCAGTTTTCGATTTACTCAGGAGTTTTCTTATCAAATTTAAAAAACCTAATCTAAAACGGGAAAATATAAGAAATGTAGGTATTAATTAAAATATATTACGGTCTTTTTTCTGTGAACAATTTTTCTAGTAGAAAAATTGTTCTAACTTTTAATGATAGCAATTATTAAACAATTTATTTTATTTTTAATACAAATAATTGGAGTCTCAAAATTTTACTATTCGAATTATTCAAAATAATTTAGTGACAACAACTAAAGCGTACCCGGATTGGGGTAGGTTCAATGGACGATTTGATTACTTTAATTAAAGGGGACAGATTACCTTAAATAAGAAGAGGGACTCCTTTCCCTTCGGTACCACCCCACTTGAAAAACGACTATGAAAGACCTTTATTATTTACTTCTTATCTTCATTATTATGCCCTTTTTTATTTTGACTTAACATGAATTGATTGAATTCTTTATTATAAAAAAAATTTAATTAAGAGGACGTTGTACCCGCATCTACTGTCTCAGTTCAACTACCGGTAACATGCAAAAGCAATGCTTATGCAGAATAAGTAAAACTAGATTAGTTTTTAGAATAAAAGAACCTATTATGAAATTAATAGAGAACAATATTTCGGAGAGAATTTCATAAGGGCTTTTGTATTATCCGTTCAAAATATGCAGCTCGATATAAAAGTTAAAAAAAACCTTTTTTTTATTTTGTTTTTTTGTTTTTAAATAACTGTAACTTTTTTATTAGTTCATAATTCAAAAAATACCTATGACATTCCCGCCAATATATTTTTCCAAATAAAAACTCTCAAAAATTAAAATTCCTTAAAAGCTCCAAAATTTTGGCGATAATACCGTAAGAAAACAAAAAGGCAACAAAAAAAGGTGTCTTGTGATTTTTCGATTAAATCATTTTTTCTAGTAGAAACGTCTGTGTTTTTATAAAATAATTAAATCGTGAAATTGTACGTTTTCCTATGTTTTTTTCACCTTAAGTGCTTTTAAAAAAACAACTATTAACTGAACTCTGTTCAGAATCGTTTTGCGTAAGCTATAGTTTTTCGTTGCTTACAGGTATACATTAAATTATTTATAATAGTGGCTGAAGTGTTCTGTAAAAATTGGATAAACTATAAGATCTTAACCTCATTAATGCACAAATAGACAAAATTTGCTTTCAGGAAAGATGCTGCAATTAAAAACCTATGCATAATTTCCGGTAGAAAAGGTGTTCTTACATTACAAAAAATAAGTAAATATCATAGCAAAACTAATACGATCTCCGATAACTACTATGCTCATAATCTAAAATAATGCATGAAAATAATATTTCGGAATTAATATTTATTGGAAAAGAGCCAAAAATATATTAGGTATAGGTCTTATTACGAGTTTGCATTTTAATAATCGTAAAAATAACGAATGGTATTGATAATTTATCGTAAAAAAAAAAAAACCGTTGACAATCATTATTCAATATAATTACTGGTACCTACTTTTTCAATTCCCATAAATTTTAATTTTTTTTTCTATAATATACTTTGAAATAAATAATAATTTTGCAAAAAAATATATAAAAATAAAAAATAGGCATCTATTTAAGCATAAAATATTATTTTATATTTAATATACGTATAAACTTTCGCAATATTTATGATTTATTTATATTATATTCAATAATAATTTTTTTTATTTTATAAAAACTCATTAAAAGGAATTTTAGCATTACTATTAAAATAAAAAATATACGAATTCGGATTGAATTGAGATATTTTATTTGGAGGTTCAAGTATTATAAAATAATATCTATCCCGTAGCTAGTAAAATACACACAAAATTTGATATTTCATGCAACAGTATAACGAATAAAACGAAAAACGATTCTGAGCCGAGTTCGGTTATAATAGGGTTGCTTTATTAACAATAAATGTCATATTAGAGTAAAATAATTGCAAATAAATTATACATTTTTTTTTATTAACATTTGTTTAATATTATACTGGTTTTTCCCATTTATGATGAAAACAATGGGAAAATAAAAAAATGACTTCCTTTAAGTACTATGAACTAAGTTAATACAATTTTTTTATCATTTAAAATAACGAACATTTACCCGCCCCAAAGCTTTAGTGGTTCAGTGAACTACCAAAATTAAATTCAAGCCATCTCTATTTGTGTATGAGTGTAGTAGGTAATTTAAAAAATAAGTTGGCATTTTTCTTGATGTAAAAAAGTGTTTGATTGTGTTGTCCATAATTATTACTGCCTAAACTTAAACAATTATGGTATAAGAGTTGTCAACAATTACTTGTTACGGAGCAGCTCTATAGTTTTATGTTTTTGTTATTTTTCATCACCCTTATTTTTTGGTGTAATACAACTACATATTTTTGATTTTAAAATGGCAACCTATAATAAAAATTCCATAAATATATGGAGTATCAGTTAAAAAAAGGCTGTATTAACATTTTTCATTTTCAGCAACCTAACTTAACCGTTGATGAGATAATTCATATTAAAGTTTTGGAGGTGAGAGAGTAGTGAAGCATAATTTATGTATATATTTAAAAAAAATTATACATTCCGGGACAATGTGTGTCTTATGACAGACGGATTACTTGTTTATTAGCTTATATTTTTTGGTTATATATATTATTAGGTATATATTTTTAATGTTATTCATACATTGTATATTGTTACATTTGAATAAGTTTAGCTATAAATTGGTGTATATTTTAGTATAGATTCTGTGTTTCCTCCATAAACTTTGCTTTTTGGAGACGTCATCATTTCAAATTTATTTTATTATATTTATTTATATATATTTATGAAATGAAAATTAAATAAATCTAATATTATTATAAGTTAAAAAAGTCCACTCTACGAGTGAGCTAAAATTTCGGTTTCTAAACGTAGGTATTTTAAAATAATGAACTATAGTTTCATACACAATTTCGAAAAAATTTGTTAACCTAGTATAATATTATACTTATGAATAGAAAACTAAACAAATTAAAAATCTTTATTTACAAACAATTGACGGGATATTTTTAAGTCAAAATTTAACTTTAACTTAACATAACTATTTTTTTATTAAAAACATAATTTGAATTAGCAGAACAATTGGTAACTCATTCAGGTTAAATCGTATTATAATATTATTCACCACATTCTCGATTTTTCTCCTGAAGTACCTTTTTTGAAGTATGTATAGGTATATACATTATTTGTGACGGTTTAAATAACCGTTACTCGTATTTGTATTGTGTATGGAGATTATATTGTCGAGACAAGTCGTGGGAAAAGTATATAAACGACAAAACGTAGTTTTGTCAGGGGTTTTTTTATTTTCCTTCCAAGGTCGTTATTTGAACTACGCGGGTTATGTTCCGGAAGATAGAGATCGCCAAACACTATACCTACAGTAAATGGCAAGATATTTACGAGTTCGCGAGTCGTATATAACATAATATGGGTATACGTATACGAAAAAACCACACGTTTAGTTGTAAATCCGAAAATGTGTCTAGGTGCTAAATTGCACATTAAATCTTTTCTCGTGAGTGTGGGGTTTGTGGAAACTCTACCGCAAAACGCGTTTCAGATCGCCAGAGCACTTATTTCTGACCGTCGTAGTCGTAATATTACCTTGGATTATTAGACTCCTTATACCCGGCAACGTGTGCAATATATGACAGCGGTGTAATGTCGGATATTGTGAGGCCCATAGACAAAATACCGTTGTGAAGTCTAAATATTTTACACGACTCTGAACCGCTAGTCAGTTACCTTACTATAATGTCTATACCCAATACGTACAGTTCAGTATTAAATCTATATATATTCAGTATATCTATGTATTTTAATTTTTGTTGAAATTAATATTAAATATTTTGGAAAATTCGATCTCGACTATAGACGAATATTCAAAAAATCTGTTTTCAAAATTATTATCGCTTCACAAGATCAATCAGTACGTTAGGAATATAAACGCGTCTAAGTTCTTACAGTGTGCGTATGAGGAAAGAAATACAGAAATCACAGGTTTGATTTTATTAAAAAAAAGTTTTATTATCAAGATTACAAACAACTTTTTTATGCTTTCAGACTAAAAATAATAATAATATTATATGATTTGAGATACATAGCCTCGATTATGTAATGTGAAATTTAAAATTTGATTATTATTAACTATAATAAATAAGATTGATACATTGCTAAAATGTGGCCTGTGGCCAAAATCAGTAAATAAATATCCTGCTCTGGTATCTATTATTGAAATAAGACCTTACTGATGTGAAAGACTTTAAATAAATGCCGAGTCTCTCCTTTCTTTTCGTCGCCTCTAATTTATACGACAAAAAATTACTTCATTTAGGTAAAAACCTATCTACTCTAGGGTATTTGAAATTTAATCTATCCACATAAACAGCGGATATTTTATTTTTTTACGAATTAGTATACGCGTGGAATAAAAGAATTAGTTATTTTATTAAAGCTTTGTGTCACCAACAGGAAGCTCACTGTATTTTTTACAATACAGGTGCAACGCTTAATTCGGAACGAAACGTAAGCACCTATAATATTATACAACGGTAAGGTGTATAAATTACTAGGCAGAACCCACAAAAATAAACATATTCCAAAGGGAATTTATTGTGAAAAGTTAAATTACGATTAGTGTTCCGTACATGTTTTCCCTAGTCCCCGGCGCGTTCAGTAGTCGGAAGTCAATATTTTCCGAGGCAATAAAAGAAAAAGTCGTTTTTATTACACTTCCAGCGCGCGAAATCTGCAGCACTGCAGTATACGTACAAAATATATAAAATAAAAATACTTATACTATCGCACAGAAATATTTC